ACACTCCATCTTCTATTTTAACTTTTTTTAAAAAAATCCTCTGAGATAGGTCAGGCTGCGAAAGAGCCTAGACTCAGTTTGTAAGGTCCACGATTCAGTGAGAACTTCAACTCAACCTCCCAAGTCAGTGTTACACCATAACCACTGCACCTCATTGTCTGTCAATATCCCGTTTCCTTATCCTAGCTCTTTTCGTATGTCCCATGTCTACCTTAGCTGTAAACTTATAGATAGAGAGCATGTTCTACTTCCCTGTTCTATGTATCAGAAGTAGTCCAATGGAATTTATTTGGACTACATCTCCCATAATTCCCAGCCATTGGGAATGCTGGTGGCACTCCTGGGGGTCTGAGTCCCATCTGCCTCCTGGAAAATCATGGGTTCCACACCCCTAATGTATTCTCTTCTAGCTGCTTTGCAGTGCCTGATTAATATTAATAAAATACAGAGTTTACTAATGCTGTCATTATGCATGTATATATCATTTGCATGACCAGTAAGCGCCTTTTGTTCAATTCACTAGGATTCCACAATTGCAAGTAACCTTGTTAAATTTCCCTGTTTTTCTATGAGTTCTTTTTTTTATATACATACAGTTCCATAATGTTGGCTGAAATAAAAATGAGGAAGCCGACGTTGTAATCTTATTTTGCATGCTTGAATTAATTTCTGATCTTATTTTGAATTGGGCACTGTATGTGATACTGTTTTTGTGTTTTGATTGGCATTATATATATATATATGACACCAAAAGCTAGCAAATATATTGGATTTGAATGCAATTTGTATTTGGCTGTGTATTTGTTGTTTCCTCATTTTTCTGGCACTGAGGCTATGTTTTCTGAGCTTCTGTTAAACAAAGCATGGCGTTATTTTCATCAGACCTTGGAAAGTTTCTTTTTTTAAAGAAGCAATGAATACAGAGATGTCTTGAAGTCATCAATAACTTCTAAGTGCTGGTTATGGCTCTCCAACAGTTAACACCTGAAATATCTTGCTGAGGTCTGGCAGAAAATGAAAAAAAAAAAATCTTGGAATAGTGTTGCATTTTTAAAAATATGCCCAAATCCCAGCTAGCAACAGTAATATCTCAGTGGTTTTGGAAATACAAGCAGAAATTAATTCAAGCATATAAAATAAGATGACAATGTAGGCTTCTCATTTTTATTTCAGCTAACATTGTGGAACTGTGGTCCAAAACAGACTGCAGAAATAATCCACTTTGAGACCGCTTTCAACTGCCCTTTCTCAGTGTCAGGAATTCTGGGAATTGTAGCTTGTTGTGGTACCAAAGAAAATTGACAGAGCCAGAAATAGTGCAAATTGAGTCCACTTTAAGGGTTAGGGTTAGTGCTAGGGAATCATGGGAATTTTTTTCTTTTCTTCCTGAGACATTGAGCCTTCTCTGTCAGAGAGCTCTGGTGCCACAATAAAATACAGTTCCCATGATTCCCTAACTCTAACCCTAACCCTTAAAGTGGACTCAATTTGCACTATTTCTAGCCATCTGCAAAGGCCCTAAATGTCTCCCAAAACTACTGTTCCCAGAATTTCCTAGCATTGAGCCAGAGCAGTTAAAGCGGTCTCGAACTGGATTGTTTCTGCAGTCTGTTTTGGACCTGTATGTATATTAAAAAAGTTGCATTTGGAAAGATGAACGTTCTCTTAACATGCTTTCCTCCCTTAAAATGCGTACATCTCAGATCCCAAGAATAACAACATTTCACTTGTGCGGGAAACATGAATGACCTGATGCGTGCATTTTCCCTTCCTTAAAATGTGTACATCCCAATAGCAACCACAGCTTGGGAACGGGGCACATGGACCATGCAATCCATGTCTTTTTCTTCTTCTTTTTATGCTGAGTATCTCTGAGAGCTAAACATGCCCTTTCTGTTTTCTGTATCCCTCTTCTCCACCCAGTTCCTGGCTTCGGAGCTCAATGATAGCAGATGCAGCTCTCAACTGTTCAGTTGCCTGCTGCGTGCCATGGAAATGCAAAACCGTTGCTGTAGTAATGAAGCCTTGGCTTGCTTTCTGAAACACGACATGCCAGGCCTGGGATGGGAAAATAATTGTTCTTCTGCAGCACTATGTATGCCTTTAAAGAGGGAATGGATGGGGAGGATGGCATCCAGTGTTTTGCTTTTTTTAAAGAAAAATAGCTTGGTAAAAAGAAATTATCTACAGAGACAGAGGTGGGTGGGATTGAAGGAAAACTCATGGTTATTTTTAGCTGTGTATATTTCTTCAGAAACTCAGCGGTGGGTTGGATATTTTTGGAGTATGCTTCCCTCACCTGCTGAGATTTTCCAATGGGTGTAACTACCCTAAAGGCACCAAATGCCATCTGATCTTGGAAGCTAAGCAGGCTCAGCCCTAGTGAGACCCTGGATGGGAGATCACCAAGGAATACCAGGTGCTGTAGGCTCAATTTCAGAGGACGGAATTGGCAAAACCAGCTCCGAGTTATTCCTTGCCTAAGAAAACCCTATGAAATTCATGGGATTGTCATACAGGCAACTTGGAGACACGCAGACTCCAATGGAGCCATACTAGAGCCAGGGTGGTGGTGTGGTTTAGATGCTGGAGTAGGACTCCAGAGGACCAGGGTTCAAATCATGGACCTTGGGCATGTCCCACTCGCTCAACCTCATAGAGGAGCAACAGCAAACCCCTTCTGAACAAATCTTGTCCAGAAACCCATGTGATAGATTTAACTAGATTTGCTTTAGGGTCACCATAAGTCAGAAATGACACATAGGCACACACCCCTTGATCCACTGGGATTCCTCTAACTGGACTTAGGCAATTCTATAGGTTTTTTGTGGGTTTTTTCGGGCTGTGTGGCCATGTTCTAGAAGAGTTTCTTTCTGACGTTTCGCCAGCATCTATGGCTAGCATCTTCAGAGAAAGATGCTGAAGATGCTAGCCATAGATGCTGGCGAAACGTCAGAAAGAAACTCTTCTAGAACATGGCCACACAGCCCGAAAAAAACCCACAAAAAACCTATGGATGCCGGCCATGAAAGCCTACGACTTCACATTAGGCAATTCTGTTTATACATCAAAGAAGAAATAACCATAATTTCAATCAAAATGTTATTAGGCAAATTGCCTTATGGCAGCCTCATGTATTAATCACTTGTAACCAACAAAACAACCTTGAGTCCCATGGCACATTAAAGACAATAAGACATTCATTGCAGCATGAGTTTTCTTAGGCTCCAACCCATTTCATTGGGTGAGAGTTTACTGATAGCAAGTTAGAGGACAAGCAGGCATATGGTTGGAATGGAGGCAGGGCTGCAGGGAAGTATTACCGTATTTGTCGTCTGCTTTTTAAAAAGAATATCTAAATTTTCAACCCAGAATAAGATATGACTTCCTCCACCAGCATGCATTATGCAAACTGAGCACATTTGCCTCGATTTGTTTATTTTGCATAATTTATTCTGCATTTGCTAGTCACAGGAATTCGCAACGGGGCACCAAAGCACTGTCATACCTTGATTACCCCAAAACCAACTATTGTTTCTTGAAATTTCACCAAGAATCCACTGCATACATTTGATCTTAAGCATATGCGACAACATCTTTTGCACAGTTTGTCTTGGTGGTGCTACAACATCCCTTTGCATACTGATATCCCATGGCTATGGCTATGAATTTTTGGTCTAAAGTTATTGTTATTATCTCTTTATCCTGTGTTCTCTGGTACTGCTTTAATCCCCAGCTAGTGAGCGTCAGAACTGAGGTGTGGATTCTGGACATTGTAGTCTCTATTGTAGCTGTAGCTGTGGTAGGCTTGAATTCTCATGTTGAATGTGAATGGCCCCAATTCTGCCTCTGAACTATATAGCAGGGTTCTTCGAACCTGTCTAAACTTGAAGGATTAAAAGTGCAGACTTTCTGTTTGTCACAGTGCTTGGATCTGTGGCTGAATTTTGGATCCCTCTTTGAGGCTGCATCTACACTCAAAATTAATGCAGTTTGGCACTGCTTAAGCTGCCATGGCTCAATGTGATGGTACTCTGGGATATGTAATTTTGTGAGATATTTAGCTTTCCCTGTCAGAGCGCTCTGGTGCCACAACAAACTACAAATCCCCAAGATTAATAGGATAGAGCCATGATAGTTAAAACAGTGTGGAACTGCATAAATTCTGCAGAGTGGCGACAGCCTTATTAGAGTGCTTAAACATGATAACCTTTTGACAAGAAATCTCTGTGATGCTATTTGAACCTTGTTTTTGGAAAGCAGGGGTATATTATTATTTTAAATAAAGAATGGATGCATGACATGCTGAAATGCAAGGGGAAGAACATCTCCCAGCATCTCTTAGCTGAGCCAAGCACTTCACCTGTTGAATTTCTACATCCCATACAGCTGTGAAATGTACAGAAGCTCCATCAGGAAAAATAAAAACTGCAAAGAGCTACCTTTCATTAAATGAGAATGCGTTGCTACTACACCTCTTTGAAAACAAGGAAGTATTGCTCCCAGTCTTTAAAAAACAACACCCTTTGCTCTCTCATTTATTCATTATTGAGGACACATGACTGTCGTCCTCCGTGGGAGCATCCTCATCCATCCCTGGAGGGAGCCTTAGGATTCTTGCACTAAAAGTGAGACTTCAAGAGCAGTTATTCTGTATCATCCTTCCCGTTTCCCTCTGAAGTGAATCCCTCTTCTCCAAACTCACTTACTTACGATATTTGTATATGACAGCCATTGGGGATAACTGGTGAATTTGATGGGTAATGCATGTGTACGCTATCCTTTCTCCATTTTAAATGGCAACGTATAATTGCAAAGTCTCTTAAACAAACCCGAACCGCACTGGGCCTCCCGACAATCTCTCCCCCGCCATTCTGCCGCTTTCTGAGTTTATGAATAATATTAGCGTTTCACCAAAACCTTTGATGAATTGTCAAGTTCGTGGTGCGTGTGTGTTTTTTTTTCCTCCTTTCCACCCTTGAGAACTGCTGTTTGATCAGGTTTTATCTTACTTGTGTTAATTAATTGCTTTACTAGTGGGGATGGGACGGGGCAGTGCGGAACCATTTGGGCTTCTTCAAGCTTTTAAATAACCTTCTGTTTTGTCTTTCATCCTCCATATCTTGGCTGTTCTCATTATTCTCCAGCATTAGGGTGGCCACTTAGACATTGTCAAAGCAGAAGAAAGGCATCCTATAACAAGAGGACAAAGGAAGGCACAGATTTACACAAAGATTACAGAATATCATGTAATAAATGTTACATAAAGCTAATTTATGGGTTTGTTGTTGTTGTTAATATCCAACTTTGACTTATGGTGACCCCCATAAATGAAAAACATCTAAGTCCCCCTATTATCAGTCTTGCAAATTCAAGGCTGTGGCTTCTTTGACTATGTCTATCTCTCTGGAATGCAGTCTTCCTTTTCTCCTTCCTTACCAAACATTATTGTCTTCTAGTGAGTCATGTCTTCTTCTGATTTGGCCAAGGATTGACAGTTTCGGAATAGTTATCTTGTTTTCTAGGGAGAGTTCAGGCCTGATTTGCTCTAGGACCCATTTGTCTTGTTACCAGTCCATGGTATCTCTCCTCCAGCACCACATTTCAAATGAGTTGATTTTCTTCCTATCAGCTTTCTCCTTTGTCCACTTTCACCACCGTACATAGTAATGGGAAATACGATGGCATGGACCATGCTAACTTTAGTATTCAATTATATATCTTGACACTTCAGGATCTTGCCTAGTTCCTTCATAGCTGCCCTTCCAAATCCTAGCTTTCTCCTGATTCTTATGTGCCTTCAGGTTTCTTGTCAACTTATGGTGACCCCATGAATTTAATAGGGCAATGGTTCTCAAACTTTTTACCCTTGTGACACTACATGCAGATGTACGACGATGCCCCCCCACTCGACATATTATATGAATACAATTATTTTGTTTGTTCAATGTGCATATTTTCATTCACACATTAATGTATATTCAAAATTTAATATTTTATAAAGAAATAGCTCCCCTCCTCTTCCTCTTCCTTCTCCTCCTTGCCTTTCTCTTCCCCTCCAGGACAGAAAAAGGTTGGGAAGTGGAGGAGAAGAAGCAGGGAGATCAAGACCTCCAAGCCTGGTGCCCCCCTTGACCAACTCTTGTTTCCACCTCCCCCGGGATCCTGCTCCCAGTTTGAGAACCACTGTCATAAGATTTTCTTTGGCATGGAATAGTTAAGAGTCAGTTTGCCATTGCCTTCCTCTGAAATGGAGACTACAGCACCTGGGATACCTTAGTGGTTTTCCTAGTACTAACCAAGACTGACCCCTCTTGGCTTCTCAGATCAGATAAGATCTGGTGCCTTTGGAGATATTTAGGCTACTTTGCTTCCTGGGATGGAATCAAATGGTGCAACTACTCACCTAAACAACCAGGTCAAGGTGGATAGTATCCAAAAGTCATCCACATTATTTTGGCTCATGCATGTTAAAGGAGAAAACACCTCAAGCCTTTCTCCCCCATCAAAATATAATAATAACTCATTCAACAATGAACAGCTTGTTGTTATTTCATGGCAACCCCAAATTTGCTGCCTAAGGCAGCTACCCTCACTTTACCTAATAATTGGGCCGGCCTGATAACTAGCACTTCAGAGAAATCTTGAAGGATATTCTTCCCAGCCAGCTGTTCCCACACCTGCCATCCTTTTGCAAAGACTATTCAGGCTGATGCTGCTTCTGACCCACAGACCCGCAGAATGCAAGGCAGGTTCTGCATCCCTTCAGCGAATGCTTTCAAAGGTCGACCCATTGCTGACAGCAGGCGTTCCTTGTTTGCAACAGTGACGCCTGGCTCCTGCTTCTTCGTGGCATTAATGCAAATGAAATGGCTCTGTGCACAAGAAATATCAGACTGTTGTTTTACAAAAAAAGGGCTCAGCCGTTCCTTCGGTAGCAGTAGATCGAAACGAAATGGCTGCTTGAGCTTAGCACACACTCACCCCCAGACATAAACACACACACATATATAAATACAAGGCAGACTTCCTGATAGGCTGCCAACCCAACAAAGGAGCTGCCTGCTGGAGAAAAGATGCAACACTGACCACACAGATAAGAGCAGCTTGGAAAGAGAACATCAGTCTCCTAATCTCAAACACCCATGGGCTATTTGGGAAGAGGATTTGCTATCCATTATACACCAGGAGCTGGACTTCTATTTGTCATTTGGGAACACAAGCTGGAAGCTAGGGCTGGAAAGAGGTGGGCACAGTTGGCTTAGTGCACCCACATCTTTCTGATTCAAATAAGCTAACCCATACCAGGGGTTGGTGGTAGTTTCTATGTCGGTGAATCTACAATGTGGATGGGTCTACACTGGCCAGAATACTCTGGGTTACTCCCAGAAAATTCTAGCCCCAAAGGTGCCCCAAATTCCCCATTACCTGGGCACTCCGGAGTGACACCAGATGACAGTCTACACATGCTCATCCTGCTGTGCCAGCTGGCAGCACCACCGCTGGCATGAATTGCTCCCTTTGAGTTTGAAAATGAGCTGCCCAATGTCAAACACACAGTTGGGCGCCTCATTGTGACCTCAAAGGGTGTGACTTGTGCCAATGGCAGTGGTACCAGGTGGCACGACAGGAGAG